CAGTGGTGAACATTTTATCCAGTGTTAAATGAGGTTGGGTGGGGTGACAAATATTGTTAGCAATTCAAGTGAGACTAGCCACAATCACAGTGCCAAGCATCTCATGGATTAAGGGATATGCAGACAGTGGTGTTACCCGCCTCTTAATGATGAACCTAGTCCAACCGTAGAACTTTCAAGAAGCAAAATACAGACAGCTGAGTGTTCATGGCCACAGATGCATACCTTAACATCCAGTATTTGTCTCATAAGTCCTCCAGACTTGTCACTTCGACAGTGTCAAAGCCCAGCCCACAGGGCTGGGCTTCTTATGTGAGGACCTCACTACTTGCTTGCCCCCCTCCCTGCTCCGTAATGGCTGGCTGGACTGCAGTGCATAGACAAAGCAAGTTAAAAAGCAGTCACCAGCAACTCATATCTAAAGTACAGAATTACACTTAAAACATTATCAGTGAATGAATGCTTCTACTAGAAATAACATCATTGTCTACATAGGCCAAAAGCCCAGCGGTCTTCCACAAAACTTAATATTCATGTTCCCCAATGAATAGACTTGGACATACGTGGACCAGGTGTGTGACACAGAAACGACTGTGGGGATTGTTCAGACAAATCAGGTAAAGAAGAAAACATGTAATTAATGTTTTAACAAGTTGCTATCCTTACATTTCAGTCATATAAACTGACTCATGCTTAGAAATCTTCCTAAGGATGTTCACACTCACAATTAAGCAATTCTATCATTTCCAGTAGTTTGTATATTTAAACTAGGTGAGTTCTCTAGCTAAGAAGCAAATAAAGCCAGATTTGCAAAAATTAACAATGGAAAAAATCTTGATGAACAATTCTTGCATTTCTTCGGAAATGTGGTAAAATCAAAGAAAAATCTGAATGCTTTGACTTTCAAAGATTTTGTTTGCTTATTTAACCTTTGGCATTTCCTTGCCAGTCATCCACCACTCTCCCCTCGAGACACCTTCCACAGGGTTTTCCTATGATGATTTAACACTGTGTAGTACCCTGATCACTTTGGTAAATCAATCTGGTAAAGTGGATTACTCTAAAACCATGGTGGTAGATAAAAGATACATTGCTGGCCCCAATCAGCAATGTAAAAAACTTATCGGAAATAAAATACACTGAACAGATCATATCTTGCCTTTTGTATAGTCCTCATGGAAGGTAGAAATAGAAGTGCTTCCTAGGAGTTGTATGTTATCTAACAAGGTGTTGACAACAGAAGACTAAAAGTATAAACAGATCTTTGTTGCTAGCTGCCAAATGACCAAATATTGATTCTCTTCCTTATGAATTAAATGTATAAACTCATACAGATCCTCGTGTTTATGTAGTGTGTCAGTATGTTTATTTTCAGGCTGATGGAGAGAGGTAGTACTCCTCATGGCTTTTCAAAGTACAAATTCTCTCACCCAAATGTGTAGAATCTTTAACACACTGCAATATTCCTCTTGGACAGTTTTTCTTAATATTTTAAAAATCCAAATGGCTGTATCCTTTCCCAACAGTATCTTTCCCAGTTCACTTTGACATTTTAACAGTTATGCTCTTAAAAATAATATTGTCCAGTTTTACAGTGCCCAAAGTGTTCAGGCTGAAGATGTGATACTGTTTTCTTTGCTGACTGTGACTGCATTCCCAGAACTCGCTGCAAAGATGGCATTCAAGACTGTGCTGATTGGAGTGATGAAAATTTATGTGACTAGAAGCTTTTTTAAACTATTATTTTGGAAAGACTAAAACCTGTTATTAATTCTGTTAAGACTTCTCTCCCCACAATATGACATATGTATCTTAAAGGTGTGTGTGGGGGTGGCGGTATGGAGGGAGTTACTAAAGCTCAAATTGAGTGTTATGTAATAGAGAACAAAATGACTGATAGAAATCAGACCCAACCTTTAGCGACCTTTGGCCTGTTTTTAAACTTTAAGTTTCCAATTTTTAGAATGTAGCTTTCTGTCCTTACACACAGGGTTATAATGACACAAGTGTACTCTAGTTCAGTTATTTCAACAAGATTTTTAATCCTGGGACTTCCCAGGTGGTCCAGTGGCTAAGATGCCACACTTCCAATGCAGGGGGCCCAGGTTCCCTCCCTGGTCAGGGAACTAGATCCCATATGCCACAACCAAGAGTGTGTATGCCATAACTAAAAAAGAAAAAGATCTAACATGCTGCAACTAAAACCTGATGCAGCCAAATAAAAAAATAAAACTTAAAAAAAAAAAAAGAATGTTAATCCTAAGAATCCTCAGTTCAGAATCGATGTCTATCTCTTTATTAGAGTAACCGTGGTTTAGATCCAACTGAAAGTAAGTTTGATTCAAAAGCAGTGGATGGCAGCCAACAAAATAGGGATAACAGCCAAAAGATCAACCAGATCAGAATGATCTGCCCTCCAGCCTACTAGAGCCAGAAATTCTTTAAGGCAGGTACTAAGGTCAAAAGAGCAGACCTGGGTTTGAGTCTCACCCTACTACTTATGAGCTTCCCTGGTGGCTCAGATGGTAAAGAATCTTGCCTGCAATGCGGGAAACCTGGGTTCAGTCCCTCGGTTGGGAAGATCCCCTGGAGGAGGGCATGGCAACCCACTCCAATACACTTGCCTGGAGAATCCCTGTGGACAGAGGAACTTGGTGGGCTATAGTCAGACACGACTGAGTGACTAAGCACATACACACACTACTACTCAAGGGGTATGTTTTAAGAGTTCCCTTATCTGAATAATGTGACTCTTTAAGGGAGACTTTTATGACAATTGGCAATCACAAGCTAGAATCAAAATTGCTGGGAGGAGTATCAACAACCTCAGATATGCAGATGATACTCTAATGGCAGAAATCAAAGAGGAACTAGAGACTCTTAATGAGGGTTAAAGGGGAAAGTGGAAAAGCTGGCTTAAAACTGAGCATTCAAAAAACTAAGATCATGGCATCCAGTCCCATAGCTTCCTAGCAAATAGATGGGGATAAAGTGGCAGATTTTATTTTCTTGGGCTCCAAAATCACTGTGGATGGTGACTCCAGCCATGAAATTAGAAGATGCTTGGTCCTTAGAAGAAAAGCTATGACAAACTTAGACAGCATATTAAAAAGTAGACATCACTTGCTGACAAAGGTTGGATGACACCACCAACTCAGTAGACCTGAGGCTGAGCAAACTCCGGGAGATTGTCAGGGAAGTCTGGCATGCTGCAGTCCATGGGGATGCAATGTTGGACACCACTTAGTGACTCAAGATGATGAGTTGTATAGTGCTTAAGATAATAGCCACAGGAATTGTGGGCAACTAAAGAAAAATTCTAAGGATATGGAGGACTGTATTAGCTGAAAAAACAAAAACCTCTGCTCTCCTTTGGTGGGGGAGGATTATACTTCCCCAATCCTCACAGCTACCAGACTTTGACTATGTACGTGACTTGTCTGGCTGCCAAAATTTGTTAATGACATATGTCACTGTCCAACCTAAGTCTGAAGAGCCAGCCGGTTGTTTGCAATCTCTTTTCCCTGTCCTGAGACTGGTAACGCTGATTGAAGGCTGTTTTGGGAGTAAAGTGGAGCCCAGCCACAGGCAAACCACAAACATCAAGTGATACTGAAGATGTTACAAAAAAAACCTTACTAGTCCAGAGCCACCAACATACCACCAGATCCTTTATTTAGACCCTCTCCTGTACAGATCAAAGGCAAGTAACTGAAAGGATGTTCAGATAATGATTTTTTCACATGCTCAATTCAGCCTGTCGCTGCAATCTCTTGAAGTGAGCTGAAAACATCTCTAAATGTGCTAGTGAAGAAAGCATCACCAGGGAGCTCATGAGAAATGCAAATCCTTGGGCCCTACAAGTCTTCTCAATCCTCTGCCCTCCAGGCAAGCTGCTGCACTTGCTTTAGCCAGTTACATAAAAGAAGTGATATGTGCAACAGCTTTAAGAGCCAGCACATGACCCATTGTCTTCTCACTCTGCCAGATGGAGGCGGCTTCATCAGCCTGGGACCAGGAGTATGTAGCATAGCCTAATCTGACCCACAAGTCTGGAGACATGTACTTAAGTTTTGTAATTTTGTAAACCTCTGAGACTTTAGTCCCAGTTACTGTAGCAGCACATCTTAATAGAAATACAGTAAGATATGCACTTTTCTCATAGCATCTCATTTTTGTGAGTTAACTAAGTGACTTTAAGATATACCTGTATAGTAACTTCAAAAGGTACTTTCAAATTGGTATGGAAATTTAAAATGAATTCTTATTGTTGCAAGCAGAAACTAAGGTATGACTGCTAATACGATTTTTAAAAAGTAGCCCTATATTGCAAGAATTCTCTGGGGTAATGGAACTGTATTCAGTATCCTGTGGTGGCAGTCACATTACATGTTAAAATTCTTACAACTGTTAATTTTACTGTTAATTTTAAAAGTAAAAAAAGTTTAAGGAAAAAAGTATTCATTTAAAGTGTTATCACTTTAGGAAGACAAGGTGACACTCCTAACACAACTTATTTTTTCAGGCATCTTAGAGAATAACTACCTAGAAGGGAGCAAAGAAATTAACCTTTTTTTTTGTTTGTTTGTTTAAAGTAAACCTCAGTTGTATCTGGAGAAGGAAATGGCAACCCACTCCAGTATTCTTGCCTGGAGAATCCCATGGACAGAGGAACCTGGTGGGCTACAATCCATGGGGTTGCAAAGATAACGAGTGAGCAACTTCACTTTCACAGTTGTATCTACAAAATGGAGCTACTAGTCCCTGCTTCATAGATTGAGGATTAAAGAAACTAAAGAAAACTAAAGAAACTATAAAGAAAACTATTATATATATAAGGCACTTAGTATCTTTACAATACAGACAATATTAAGAGGAAAAACTCCACTCACCCACCAGAGAATATTTTCTTATAATTACACGCATCACAAACGATGGAAGCCCAAGACCCACTGGAGAAAAAGTTTCCAAACATAAGAACTTTATACCACCACTGTTACTTATACTGTCATTTTAAATCTTTAATCAGATTCCATTCATCATTATCAGTCATATTACATGCCATGATTAGCTTTCTATAAACAATTTTGCCTTCTGTGTACAAATTGGTATCAATGAAATAAAAAATAAAACCATATACTAGGCAAAGAACTTTATTTATCTTTGTCTCAAACTTTATTCTTAGGCTTCTTCAGCTTCATTAGCTGCAAAGAATAAATTGTATATAAGCAAAAACTGAAAAGAGCTGCAGTGTCCAGGGGCTTAGGCTTAAAAATATTAGAGATCTAGATTTTATCAGATCCATAAACAAAATTTTAAAAAGCAGTCATAATATAAAATAGCAGCTCCCAGTAACTTCCTCAAGATTTATCTTCTTCAGAAGTTAACTCAATTCAGTTTGCTTCATTCTTGGAAGCCTCATCAAAATTCTCCACAAGATCTAGGAAAAGGAAAAAGAAAAAAAGAGAAGCTCAGAAAAAAAGACAAGTCTAAAAAATAATCATCTGTTGTTAAAAAGGAGATAGGGAAATGCTCTCAAAATATATCCTACAGTTAAATTAGGATATATATTAAGACATTTTTTATTTCCAATGAGACCACTAACCATTTCATATATTTTGAAGTGTATAATTTGACATATAATTAACATAAGGAAAAGAGGGAGATACTAATTTTCAATGACACAACTACTACACTTAAAGAATATACATGTCCTCCCCATTCCCACCCCACTTTAAGAATTACAGTTTAGCAGTGTAATATATTAAGTCATGTTAGGGCAGAATCAAAGAATACCACTACACAATGTGAGGTTTTCCTGGGTACCTCAGGACACCTGTCTATGCAAAGTAGCATTTCTGAGTCTAGGCAGTCTACTGCCCAATGTTTGTTTCACAACAAAGTAAATTATCCAGTAACAGCCAGGATAGAAAAATGCCTCACTGTTGCCAAACAAGTTTTTCTGCTGATTTTAGTGATTATATACCAAGATATTTCTACAACTTCTTCATGCCTTTTCGTACATCTATGGATCTCATACCTCAGTGGGAAACAGGTGATTTGTGATCTACAAGTAGCTAGTATACTGAGGTTACAATATACATACCTATTAACTCAATATTTAAGGTTAGATACCTTCCTGGGATTCCAAACAGAAAAACCAAGCCTAGAAACCGAACTTCCCACTGAGCAACACTGTGTTCTTTTTCTCCTTTTCCCTCTGCCCCACTTTACCCCATGAGCCCCCTCCCCAGCTGATCTCTGCGATGGTGCTGAGATCCTCTGGTTTGACCACAAGCGAAGGTGCCTACCTGGAACTTCATCATCATCCTCCTCTCCAGTGGCAAGTGGTGCTTTTCCATCCACGGCTGTGAAAGAAAACGTGCGTGTTCAATAAACATTAACCAAGAGAACAGCAGATGAAAGCTCAAATGCTGTTATGACTTAGGTTTATGGTGACGTGGGACTTCATCTATAATACTAGCAATAACATGACAGTCTAATGTCCACAAACAAGCAAGAATACTAGTACCAGTCAACACACCAAATTCCAAATCCATCCTTTCAATCCCGCTGACCTACAACAGAGTAAAGGTAAATCCACATACCAAAAAACCTTTACTGAAGTGAAAATAAAAAAACCCAAAAATCTAAAAGTGCCTTTAACTGATAAGCCTCCACTTTCCTTTTACTACACAAGAGAGTGAACTACACTTGAGAGGTGAGCCTCACAGTACTAGCCGGGTACAATTTTCCATGGCGTCCTTCAAAAGCCTACCTCAGCTATGAAAGCAGGCTTTTCAGCAAGACAAAACAAGCAAACACACACACATACAAACTGATTAAAGCAGAGTGAGCAAATGTCAAGAAAAACATGGATGACTAAATAGCAGGTAATATAATAAATCTATCTTGATTCATTATTTCCACTGCTCAAAATTTTAATCAGAGGCCTTCAGCATAAAGTAGCTATCCCCCTTATGTACACCTATCCAACCACGCAACGTTCTGCTCTAAACAGAATCCTCATTACACCATAATCCAGAATAGTAGCAAGCCAATTCTTAAAGACTGTTGGCAATATACCAGTTGAATTTGTAAAACTAAAGAATATATTTTAATATATTTCAACCTAAACTGCCATTCATTTTTAAAAAGTCCTCATTTCCAGCTAAAAAAGGTAAAATTAATTTTAGTCTCTGATTCAAGAGAAAGCTAGTAGAAAAAACATTTCACTTAATCAAGTATAATGATCGTAGCATACTAGATAAATTACTGAACACACTAAGAACACCAGCTTAAAATCAATATAAAAATTGATATTCTTTAGAGGAAAGTTTACATTTCCAAATTTAAAGATATTCCTATCCATTTGCATCATAAATTTTAGAACTCTACTGGTAAGTCAGTAACCCTGGGCAAAACCGCTACTAGCAAACTCACATTGTTTGGGCAGAGCTTCAGCCAGTCTCCTTAAACTGGTCAGACTGTCGGCACCAAGCTGGTTTAAGATGCTGGGGAGCATTTCTGTCAGTTGCTTTGTCTCAGCGTGGCCTGTAATGGTGAAAGTGTTTGCTGCCAGAGATGCCTGAACTTTAGGGTTGTTAAAGTGGATCACTGTTCCTTGATTTGTGAACATATTCACCTAAAAAGAAAAAAACAGTGAAGTCACTCAGTCATGTCTGATTCTTTGCGACCCCATGGACTGTAGCCTACCAGGCCCCTCAGTCCATGGGATTTACCAGGCAAGAATACTGGAGTGGGGTGCCATTTAATTTAAATTAGCAACACCCATCAAAATCTCTTTAAAACTGAACATTTTATTAAGCAGAAGTCTAAGTAACCTGTATTTCACTGTACTGCAGAAGCAAAATTCTGCCTGAAATGTAAAGTACGACCTAATCGCTTTACACCTAGTAATCTCCCTGATATTAATCAAGTACAAACAAATATTTTAGAGATGAAATTCTCTGCTGGAAGTAGAGTTAAAAATCATAAATGCACGAACAACAGTTTTTAGCCAAATCTTAATTTTGTGAAGAAATAAAATTTGACACTTACCTCTTCAATACCAGAGATATTGTTTACCCCTAACTTCTTTAAAGATCATTTAATTTAAATTAGCAACACCCATCAAAATCTCTTTAAAACTGAACATTTTATTAAGCAGAAGTCTAAGTAACCTGTATTTCACTGTACTGCAGAAGCAAAATTCTGCCTGAAATGTAAAGTATGACCTAATCGCTTTACACCTAGTAATCTCCCTGATATTAATCAAGTACAAACAAATATTTTAGAGATGAAACTCTCTGCTGGAAGTAGAGTTAAAAATCATAAATGCACGAACAATAGTTTTTAGCCAAATCTTAATTTTGTGAAGAAATAAAATTTGACACTTACCTCTTCAATACCAGAGATATTGTTTACCCCTAACTTCTTTAAAGAGAACTGAAGTTTTTTGTCATCTGCTGTGGCTGTTCTATGAACCACCTTCTTCTTTCTGCGAGCAGTTCCCTATTGGAGAGAGAAAAAGAAAGAATATAGCACATGTTTATGCCAGAAGAGGCATTTTCAAATGGACAGTTCTGACCTCTCAATTTGTGTTAAGAAAATTACCATAACCACAACCTTTTATGCAGTGAGTAGGCATATTAAGGCACTGATGAAAGTCAAAAGAGGGGAATAAACAAAACTGCGTACAAAACCTTCACAATTTTTACACTTCTAGTTTTGCCGGATATAAAGGAGTGATCTTCCCCAAGTTTTACTTTTTCACATTATCTGCTCTAGAAATTATCTGAGGTAGCATGTGCCAACCTTAATTAAGCCTCATTTAGAAACTCCATGTTGATAACCATTATTTAACCTTCTGTTTTTATATTAAAGAAAAACCAACATTCCTTAATATTCACAGGCAAGATCCTAAAAGACACAAGTCTATATACAGACTTCTACAGCACCCAAGAGTAAAATCTGAAGTTTTTAACTTACCAGGCCCCTACACAATCTGCCCTGCCCCTACGATGCCACTCTTGACACTATGACACACACACTTACCTTCAGCCAAGTAAACCTTCTTGCTGTTCCTTAAATAGGCCAAATATGCAAACAGGAGCCTCTGCATGTACTGTTCCCTCTTCTAATATTTGCAGGACTCCCTACCTCACTTCAGATCTCTGCTCTCATGTCACCAAACCTGAGTGGCCTTTCCCAACCAACCAGTGAAAAATAGAAATTCCCACTCATTTTCTATCTATCCAGGTTTTTCTTCAATCTAGTAGAGTACAGTATCTGACTTCACTGAAGGCATACAACTTGATGAATGAATAAAATACCATCTTCAGGAAAACTTGCCTCCTGTACAATTATGTCAAATCTCCAAATCCCCCTCTTCTCAAAACTCAAGCCATCACCTCTTTTGTGCCTTCCCCAAACTGCAGTTAACACCCCCAAACCAAATCATCATGATGTCTGTATTTTGAAAATGCTTCTATTTCACTATGTATATTACACTATAAAAAGTTTCTTACTTTTTTTAAAGATGCCTATCCCCCCACTAGGGCTAAAGTCCCCCTCTAATGACTTTCAACTTCAAATTTTATACTCTCAGGATTGAGCAATAGTAAAGCCTTAAACAAATCACAGTGTACCTGAAGAAAATATCAATAGCTACAAAAAATATGGGTTATGAAACCCCTCAAAAACGTCTAAGAATAAACATTATCTTGAAGTGGTCATGCAGATACCCTAGCCTCCCAAGAATTCTCTCTAAAATACATCCCAAAGAATTACCTAAGATTCTAAAAACAAAACCAGTCTGCATTCTTTATGTTTCACACCCTTGACATTCAATTTTTACTGAAATAATTTATTACCAATGCTCTGACCAGATAGTGAAAAAAAAGGGCCTTCACGGCATTTACCTAAAAATGCCTAATGCTTGAAGATTTCTCTAAAGCAACACTAACTCATCTATTTTCACATACCACAGTAAGTAGGTTTCTTAAAAGGTAAAGAAAATGTTTTCCACATTACAATGATGACAGACTACCTATATTAACAATTAAAATTTACTCGTACAACAGCCTTAAGAATCTTCAACTTTCCTTTACCCTAGAATCTCTTTCACAAGTTAAAGACTAATGATCAGATTAACAACAGCAACAAAGGGCACACAAGCACATTACTCACGTGACTCCTCTGAAACCTGCACTAAAAGGAATGATGATTAACAACCTATAAGAGCTCCCAAACACTGACCCAGGAGGAATGAGTCTTCTTGGCACCTGAAGGTCACATCTAGCTTATAACAATTGCTAAAGAAGAAGAAACACCTACTACTGTTAATGGGTAGGTGCTGATCTTGAAAACCAGCTTTGGGGGAGGGGAGGGGAGGATTAGGATACTTTCACTGTTGGCAAAATCAGTCCTTCATAGACTGTACTTGAAGTCAAATGCTTAAAGTGGGAAAAACTAATAGACAATAAACTTGGAGCACGGAAGCTTTACACAAGTTTTACCAAGTAAAGACATGTTCTGTTTCAACAGGCTACCACACCTTGTTAAGCACTAGGAATGTGCTAACACAATGCAAAATAAAATTCGGTAGACCTCTGGTAGAGTGGATTTCTTATTTAAGCAAATTAGAGAATCTAAATCTTACCAAGTTCAAAAAAGAATCCCCTTGAAGGGGACCAGCAGCCACCAGGAAAAATCAATTAACCAAAACCTGATCATTTAAAAACCTGCCACTCATCGCTCCCATTTTCTCAGTTTTAGTGTAATTTCAAAAATTGAAGGATACCTACATAGGTAGTATTTCCAAATCCACAGTCATTGCTCTTGCATTCCTATGCAATGTACCTATAAGAATGACATCTTCAAATACCCCAGAAATTATACAACTACTCTAGANATCCCCACCCCCACCCACGGCCCCGGCCTGGCCTCGGCCTAGCCAGGGCCTGCCCTGCCCGGCCACTCTCCGCAAGCCTCGCGGTACCTGAGGCTCCTGTCCTCGGGTTCCGCCGGGAGGTGGAGGAAGAGATGCCGCCGCCTCGCCCCCAGGGCAGCCGCCCCTGGCCCGACCTCGACCCCGAGAGTCAGCCTGAGTGGGTGCGCCCGTCCGTCGCATCGCCTTCCTCTCCTCAGCCCTGTCCCTCCCTGTCTCGCTCTTTCCGGGAACTTCCCGCCCCCGTTCCCGTCCGCCTCCCACGCCGGCGTCCAGAGCCTTTTTGTACCTTGTTGGAGCGGAAATGGGGCCGTGCGGGGGACTAGGGTTGGCGCTCAGGTGGTCTCGGGCAGACCAGCTGAGGTTAGGCGCACACACGCGGGGACGCAAGATGGCAGCTAGAGGGAGGCGGGAAGTGACGCAACACCACTTCCTCCAAAAGTCAGGAAACGGACTTCTCCGAGTGCTCAGTGTCTGGCTGCGCTTGCGCGGCCTCAAGGGTCCGCGTTTTTGACGGTTTCCTGTGCCCTCCTTTCCACGTTCAGCAATAGCAGGGTTGAGACCGCACGAGAGACTGGGCTGGCAGCACCGCGAGTGACCCTGGGAAAGGCTGTGGAGGGTCCAGAAAACACGGTTCTTTGCACAGTTAGGGTTGAGTAAGTCGCCCTGTCTCAGGGCCCCACCCCCAAGTCCTTCAGGCTCGGAAGACAGCGCCTGTTCACGTTTGCGGAAATAAGTGGGGCATCTAGAGTGTGCTCACCTGTTTAGCCACTCTCCACTCGCTAGGAGGTGTAGATTGGAGCGATCATCGGAATGTTTTAGAATTTCCCCTTCCGCCCGATTTAACCTTTACTAAGAGATTTTGTAAAAAATGAGGCTAACTTAGCTTTCCAAAGTTAGGTTGGTTGCCGGACCGTGGTTCAGAATTTCTGGAAAGCGTGTTCAGAAAGCAGACCTGAGTCCCATCTCTCAGCGATTCATTGTGACTGAGGATAGGAGCAGGTAATCTGCATTTCAGCGGATGGCTAACCACTTTAGATCCGTGAACTTACCTTATTTTTTATGAGTCTTAGATAAAAAGTTGACTACTTGATACCAGTAGGCATGGATTTGACTGTTAGCGATTCACAGTTGAACACATTTTACCTTTCTGAACTGAGTAATTCAGTCAAAGGAGAATTTGTGCCCGGTGTGCTTGGGGAAGTTGAAAATTTCTACACACTAGGACAAGCTTTAAGACAGTCTTAAAACAACTGATATTGAAAATGGCAGTTTAAATTATAATGCTAGCTGATCAGCCTTTTTGTGGTCTTAGTTAGGGAAAGTCTTTGCATATTAAGTGAGTCGGCAACCTAAGCTAGAGAAAATATAATTTATGTAAAGCAAGAAAACTTGTCTAGGTGCAGATTTCTTTCCAATTAAGATTAACATTTCTGTTTTTGAATACTTATCTAATGTGAATGTGTCAAATTGTAGCATCTCAGAGAAAAGAACTGATGAGGACCGCAGTGTTGTTTTTTAGGATAGTGAAACAGTTAATGTTTTCTCAAAAAAACAATGTTGCTTCTATTATTAAATATGAGTCAAGTTTACTAAAGAAAAGGGAGTTTGTACTGTTAGGCTCTAAGGGGTCACTATCTTAACAATAAATTCTGACTCTGCTAATATTTACATATTAGTCTTTAAAAGAAATAAGAGCTTCCTCCCTGACTCCCTCCCCAGAAAATAGCTACTAAGTTGCCATCTTAGTTCAGTGACGCCAAATAAGTAACTCACGTATTACCATTTCCTCCCAGCTCCCAATGTCTATGACAAATATGGGTAATTGGCTCTCACAATTTATTGCTGCTGCTGCTGCTAAGTCGCTTCAGTCGTGTCCGACTCTGTGCGACCCCATAGACGGCAGCCCACCAGGCTCCACCTTCCCTAGGTTGGCCGTGCCCACTCCAGTGTTCTTAAATGGAGAATCCCAGGGACGGCGGAGCCTGGTGGGCTGCCGTCTATGGGGTCGCACAGAGTCAGACACGACTGAAGCGACTCAGCAGCAGCAGCAGCAACCTGGCCGTTGTCAATAGGCGAGAAAGGGGAAACCTGCAGCCCTCTTTGGTTTACAGTTTAATCAACGTCCACGAATTGTTCTCATTTCTCAGCTGTGCTTGAGTCAGTTTCAGTAAGAGCTAAAACATTTACTTTATGTTTATTTCTTAAGAACCCTGTTCTGACCCATAAGAAGTGTAAGGAGTCACTGAGGATAAATGTTCCCATGGTTTTGCTTGCTTCATTTTCTGGCCCTTGTCTGATGGCCACAATGGACTTTTTTTTTTTTTTTTAAGTTTCTAAACCTTAAATTCTTCTCCTAGCACTCCCCACCTTGATTAAGTTAACAGCTATACCTCATCTAGCCCTCAGTTTAAGTGTCAGTTTAAGTGTCTCAGGAAAGCTTTCTTTGACACCCTCAACCTCTTTAAGTTACATCCATCATACTCACTTTTAGTTGTGGTATTTTATTAAATGCAAAATGAGAGTTTGATAATTTTGTTGAGTAAATAGAGAATTGAGAATTACTGAACTAGGGTCTTAACAATTTTCCACTGGGTTAATACTGTGTTGACTCTCTGTTGAATCCTCACAGAAAGCTTATGAGGTAGGTATTCCACATATTCATGGCGTGGGAACTGAGGCTTAGAGAATTAAAGGTGTGAAAATAGACATACACAGCCTTATCTTACCCCCACCAAGTCTGTCCATCTACATGTATCTGAACGTGTTTATTGTCTTCCCTCCTGTTACACGTGAAAGAAATAGTCCCTCTACTTGTTTCACTCAAGACCTTGATTCTTCTGTTATTGTTTCCCTCTTATATCTGTTTTCCCCCTTTCAACTAGATCATTCTGCCAGTACACAGAATATGCCTTAATATCAGGTATCTTAACAGAAAACAAAACAAAATTTTGACTTCTCTTCACCTCCAGTAGAGTTTCTCTGGCTCAGCTGGTAAAGAATCCGCCTGCAATGCAGGAGACCTGGGTTTGATCCCTGGGTTGGGAAGATGTCCTGAAGATGGGAAAGGCTACCTACTCCAGTATTCTGGCCTGGAGAATTCCATGGACTGCATAGTCCATGGGGTCGCAAAGAGTTGGACACAACTAAGTGACTTTCACTTCCCCTGCAGTCACTGCTTAATTTTTGTGTTCCTTTTTATAGCAAAATTTCTCCCCAAACTGTCTAAACCTCCATCTTGAAAAATCCAGAAGCAATTCTCAGTTCTCGTTTTAGGCAATATTTGACTCACTTGGCCCTTCCACATTTTGAAACGTTCTCTTCTCTAAGCTTCCAGAACATCTCACCAGGTTTCCTTTTACTTTATTGGCATCTCATCAGCCTGCTTTATTTTCCTCCTGTGACTTCTAAATATTAGAGATGCTCACATCTTAGTCTTATGTTCTTTTCTGTCTATACTCTCCCTAAATGGTTTCATCCCATGGTTATAAATATCTTCATTTTGGTAAGTCCTAAGATTATAATTCCAATTTTTTGAATGTCAGACTGAACATTCTTTTTGCATTATTATGGAAAACTTCAGACACATGAAATTAAAAATAATATAATGAACCTCCATAAGTTCATCACCCAAACATCACCAAGTATTAAACTAACACATAGACTCATTGTTCTTTTTTTAACTGATTTTTTTCACTCACTCACATTAGTATTTTAGCCATGCTGTGCAGCAGACAGGATGTTTCCCCAACTGGGGATCAAACCCCGACCTCTGTAGTGAAAGCACTGAATCCTAGCCACTAGGCCACCAGGAAACTCCAGACCCATTATTCTTAATATGGTAGGGTGATTACTTATTTTTCATTTTCCAAGTTGATATATTTGCAGACTTCTGTATATATTTTAGGTTTTGTTCAATTATTTAAATTTTTTTTCCCTTGGGATTGATTTTGTAGATTTGGGAAGCTTTTAGAATCTTTATTCATTAGTGTATGAGTCTGCATTCAATTGCAGGAAATGTATCTGGCTATTTTAAATGTATACCGATTTAACATGGGGAATTGGTGTTCAGAATATTGTTTGAAGGGTTGGAGGAGCAGGCTGTCCGAAATGAGCCCCAGGATAATACTGCCAAACTGGGCTGTCAAGGAAACTACTACCACTGTCCCCATCCATCAGGATGATGGAGAATCAGGACTCCACAACTGAACTTTTTGATGTTAAGAATATACTACTGTAGCTACAATTCAAAAATTTAGAAAATATTGTAACAGTAAATACTCAAAGCAAATGACTGTGCTTTGGAAAGCTGGTGCAGAAAATACTAGGGTCTTAATCATGCCCACCAGCCGAAAAACAAAGGAGCAGAAAAAAGCCTTTTGCCTTACTTTCACCTTCCAAATTTTACTTAAATGTATCCAATTGACAGAAATCACTTACGTCTAGAACTCTTAATTGCCTGCAGAATTGTAGTATTTAAATTTTCAAGATTTATAGGACAAGAAAGCAAACTTGAAAGAAGTTTGAATAAATGCTGAATCTTCATATTCACAACCACCACAATGCATCTATTTTTCAAGTATTTTATGCACTTCAATAGAGATAACTTTTTGAAGATCTTATGCATTCCTTGTTAGCTGGATTCCCAGATATAAAATAGCCCATTTTTAAATTTTTTAGATATTGTAAATATCTTCTCGTGGTCTATTACATTTGTCGTATCCTTGTTGAACAAAATCATTACTTTTTTACCTCAAGGTGATGCATCAATTTACAGAATATATGAGCAACAGAAAAAAATAAATTATTCCACAGAATGCAGTCAACAAAATTCAGGTTACAGGAAATGACAGGACAGCTAATCTGGTATTTCAACAAATAAAATTTAAAGTAAAAAAGGGGGGGAAGGAGGAGTGAGGGGGTTCCTTAGCTAAAAAGACACCTAAGAGAAATATCTGCCCCCCCAAAAAAGAAAGAAAAGAAAGGCTAGGCAAAGCTAGAGTGTTTAGGGATGCATGCTTAGGTGATAAAAATAAAAAAGATGGTTAGAAACATCAGGATAGTATCTGCTCTTAGAGAAGAAGGGTTGTAATTGGAAGGAGACAACGCAGAAGGTTGCTAGGGTGGTGAGCAAGGGTTTCTCTGTTGACCTGTTCGTGGTATGCAATTTTCTGTATTTGCTATACTTAACCGTAAAAGTTTTTTAAAAGGGTGAAAAGCAATATACATAAAATAACAAAGTTATGTGCATATTTAAGGTCATGTTTCAATATTAGAATGGTGTGGTATAAAGAGAAATATATATTTGGACTTTGTCCCAGGTTTCTGGGCCACAGCTCCTTGGAGTGGTAAGAGTGTCTTCTTTTTTTTTTTTTCTTTAAGAGTGTCTTTTGTGTAGTAACAAGATGATAAGTGTGTTGGAGCCCCTGCATAGCTTCCGGTTGGGTCAGGTTGCCACAAAAGATGAAGGCAGGACTGGGGGTTGAGGGTTATAACTTCTAGGCCCATCCCTCACCCACCACCTTTCAGGGAGGAGAGATGGCATAGAGGTTGAGTTTAATCATCAGTGGCCAATATTTTAATCAATCATGCCTGTAAAATGAAACCTCTGTGAAAAACCCCTAAACAAGAGGGTTTGGAGAGCTTCAAGGCTAGTGGTGACCACGTCAAGGTGCTGGGAGGGTAACAGAGGCCAGAGAGGGCAATGGAGATTTGCAGCAACATAGATGGACTTAGCGTCATGCTGAGTGGAGTAAGTCAGACAGAGGAGAAGTATCCTATGACATCCCTTACATGCGGAATCCAAAAGGAAATGTTACAAATGAACTTACAAAACAGAAAGAGACTCACGGACTTAGAAAACTAACTTATAGTCACCAGGGGGAAGGGATAGTTAGGTAATATACACACTGCTATATTTAAAATGGATAGCCAACAAGGACCTATATTGTGTAGCACACGGCACTCTGCTCAGTGCTATGTTCCAACCTGGATGGGAGGGGGGTTTGGGAGAGAAAGGCTACCTGTGTATGTATGGCTGAGTCCCTTCACTGTTCATCTGAAACTACCACAACATTGTTAATTGGCTATACCCCAATACAAAATAAAAAGTTTAAAATTTGGAAACTAAAAATAAATAAAGTTTCAGATATAGACACTAAAAAAAAATAGAAGGGGGCATGGAGATTCCAGAAATCCCTGCCCTGCACACCAGTCCCTATTTATCTCTTACATTTGGCTGTTCCTCAGTAATATCCTTTATAATAAGCCACCAATCACAGGTACAGTTTCCTGAGTTGCGTAAGCCAGTGTAGCAAATGTCTGAACTTGAGGAGGAGGAGGTCATGGGAACTGGTTTACAGTCAGTTGGTCAGAAATAAGGGTGGCTGAGGACTTGGAACTGGCATCTGAAGTTGGGGCAGTGTTGTGGGACTGACCCCCCCCCTTTTAAATAAGATTTATCTATTTATTGAAGGTGGTGCATCGTCCTTTGTTGCCTCTTGATGCAGGCTTTCTCTAGTTGCAGCTTGTGGGGGCTAGAGTGCTGGCTCAGCAGTTGTGGTACACCGGCTTAGTTGCTCTGCGGAGTGTAGGATCTTTCAGGACCTCGGATTAAACCAGTGTCCCTTGTATTGCAAGGCCAGTTTCTTAAGCACTGGACTATCAGGGAAGCCTGGGCTGACACCCTTTAACTCCAGGTGCATGCTCAGTCACTTAAGTCATGTCCAACTCTTTGCAACCCTGTGGACTGTAGCCCACCAGGCTCCTCTGTCCATGGGATTCTCCAGGCAATAATACTGGAGTGAGTTGTCATGCCCCCCTCCAGGGCATCTTTCTGACCCAGGGATCAAACCCACATCTGTATTGCAGGCACATTCTTTACCACTGAGCCACCAGGGAAGCCCTTAACTCCAAGTAGATAGTGTCTTCATCGAAGTCAATTATTAGACTCCCAATTAGTATCCAGAGAATCAGAAAATTGTTTGGAGAAAGGAGAATAGGAGTGAAGGTCAGAAAAGAAGAAAAAACATTTTCACATGTGTGTGACTTCACGTCACACTGAAGATGACTGTGCTAAAAATAGCTCATGTCTGTATAGGTTTTACATTAGACATCATTCTTAGTGCTTTATATATATTAATATTAACCCATTGGAGCCTATGAAGTAGGTGCTATTACTCTCATTTTATAGAAACAAAAAATTGAGACACAAAAAAGGTAAGTGATTTATCTAAAGCCACAGTGCCAGTAAGAAGAAAAGGTGAAATATGAATGCAGGCAGGTAGCTCCACAGTCTGGGCCTGTAACTATCACACCATGATACTGAGTGCTAGGGAATATGGTTTTCTCAACTCTGTACCTGGTACCCAACAAAAGTTTATTCAACTGCTCACTCATTATCTCTATCTAAATGACTAACAGATATCCCAAATATACCACGTCTAAGGCAGAACAATATTTTCCATCCACTATTAAATCAACGCTGAGTCAACTCTGTTCTTTTTTCCTATAACCTCCCATATCAAATCCATCAGCAAATGTTATTCATTCTACCTTCAGAATACCCCCCAGCTTTGGCCACAGATCATGTTTACTGATTCCACCCTAATCTAGACCACCATCACTCACCTGGGCTACTACTGTGACAGCCTCCTGACTTACCTCCCCGTCCCCACTTCGTATCTGCATTCATGCTCCACACAGTAGACGGTTTTTTTTTTTTTTACAAAGCATGTATTACTCTCCTGTTTAAAGCATTCCAGTGACTGCCCATTGCATTTAGAATAAGATCTAGATGCTTTACTATGACCTTCAAAACCACACATAAGATGCATTAACTACTCAGATTTTATCTCCTATCACTCTTCTAGTTCTTAAGCATCTTTCACATTTGGGCTACACAGAATACACAACAAGAGAAAAAATTTCCTTGATCTTCATTTTTATTTTGAAAAATAAAATTAGGTTCAAAATATTAGGAATGATGAGTTTCTTTCAGTCTCAGGGAAGTAGTCATGGAAAGTAACATCTGAACTGATCACTTCCCAATCTCAGTTGTTCATCAACTTCCTTAGGTCATAAATTGGCCTAGAGAGCAGCCATCAAACTTACTGAAGAACTGAAGAATGCTGTTCAGTTTCAGAGAGCAAAGATGACAGGGAGCAAAACAAGGAAGACTGTTAGAAGGAAGAAAAGGTGGGAAGGAGAGGGTACGCCACCAACTGCTTCACATTGAGGGACAGTTTGAATTTATTCAGCAAATACCCATTCCCTCTTCCTTCAAACATGGGCAGAAAATACATCTTTGCCCATTTGGGGGAGTTGCTTAGATTCCTGAGTTG